CCCCCAACCCGGGGCTATAGCTACTGCTAGACTTAGCTTGAACCATCCCTGACCATTGACCATGCTGGCTTGGGATGAAAGGGAGTGGAAAGTCCACCAGCGTGTGTCATACAACATTTCCATCCCTTGAATGGACTGTCAGAAATTTTGTTGGCATAGTATTAACTGTGCTATTTTATTAAATGCATATTGTTTATTATTTCTGATGATTTTTGAAATTAGAACTGCAGCCTATTTGTTTCTTGGAGTACAGTACAGTAGTATTGTATTGGGCTGATACACTACTGAACTCTGTCACTTACCTTGAAAGCCCTATTATAAATCACTTCCAGCTTGATAGCACATAACAACAACAAAGCAACTATTTAGGACAATTTTAAAAAACAGTTTAAAACTTCACCTGCTTTCCTCAAAAATAAGACTGGGTCTTATATAATTTTTGCTCCAAAAAGCGCATTAGGGCTTATTTTCAGGGGATGTTTTATTTTACAGTCATGTCATCTTCTGGCTGCTGCACAATGCGGCACAATGGTGGAGGGTGGGGTTTCACTTAACTGGGGCTTATTTTGGGGGTAGGGCTTATATTATGAGCATTCTGAAAAATCATACTAGGGCTTATTTTCAGGGTAGGCCTTATTTTTCAGGGAAACAGGATAGTATACCATACACTGAAGGATAATATTTGAAAGATTACAAACCCAATTCTCTTCATGGTATCAGTCCTTGCTGTCAAATAATTGTGGGTAAACTCTTAATTGTTTGTTCCTTCACGTCTGCTCTGGTTACAGATCTTGCAAATCAGTTTCAATGTATTGATGGCATTCAATTTGGTTCTGCAATTTGTTACAGAATCTTTTGCTCTGCATGTTTATCTCATAAACTACATGGCACTGCCTGTTCCCTTGAAATGAACTTAATCTTTGGAAGCACTAGAATAAGAGTACAGTATGGGCATTACAACTCGCTAAGAGATTTCCTGTACCAGTGGGCAATGGTCAGGTGTCACCATGTATGTATCATGATAAAACCATGTTTTGTTTTTCTGCCAAACTTGGGTTTCCTTCACTATCAAGACAATATTCATAAGCCATATTCATATGCTGTATTCTGTCATATTCATACCCCCCATGAATTGGTGTTTATATAGGCACATGTATACATGCACTTATCTTTAATCCTGAATTATTTGCTGAGTAATTCTGATGCTCATTTGTAAATGTGTCCCTCCTATCTTTGTTTATAAAAGTAAAAAAAGAATTAAAGTAAATAATTAAACTGTACCAACTTCTATGGTGGCTCTTTCTTCTATTCATAGAAAGGATCGCATATTTTATTTACTTGAAATATGGTACAAAAACAGTTCTACATTTTGCAGAGCTTAATATTTCTTTCTGCGTATGCCCATGATGCAAAAACCATCTTTGAAGTTGCAAAAACGTTGATTTTTGGACAAAATAATTTTCCTGAATTACCTATTTATGTTGAGCCTTCCCTGTCTTTATCGTCTCCGCTAGGAATCTTTGTCAGCATTTTCAAATGTTATAACATACCTTGTTTGTGAATCCACAAGTCTGATCCCTCCACGGATGTTTCACTCATTAAGGACAATGAGTCCCCTTGCCCTGTGTACCCCACCCCTATTTTATGTCTTGTAGATACAGTATATCATTTTTCTTTTGAGGATATGATGATGTAAAAATCCAGAAACAATACAAGTGCATGTAGGGCTGGGTTTTTCTTTAACTTCATAAACCATCTGTGGAAAAAGCTGCAAAACCATCTGGGTTTTCTGTGCTAACAGTTTTTATTTGTTCATGACCAGGCTGTGTTTTTTCTAACCAAGCCCCTAAAGCTGTATTAAATATGCAAACAATATGTTAATCAATAGCTGCATAGTTTGGCTTATCTATCATTCAGAAGGCATCTCATAACAATCTCTGATTTATTTGGCAACAGCAACTGGAAATTAAAGAGTTGGGGCACAAGCGGCTTTTTGCATTGTTTCCTTCCAACAGTGGTCCCATCACCCCCCTACATTGCAAACCATGTAGAGTTCAAGAAGGGGGGAATTTTTTAAAGTTTGCGGTCTTGCATGAAGAAAGCAGCAGAAAGAAAAACATCAAATAATCCACTGGCTTAGCATGAGCCCAAGAGTCTCTTTAGAATCGGGTCTACATTACTTGCCTGGTCTATCCACTTTGACAGCGGATAACATCTCAGGGAAATCAGAGCCACTGATTATTTTAACTTTAATGTACATTCAATTTACATATCCTAGGACAAGTGCTTGTTTATATTTAGATATCTAAATTATGACCCTGATGATGGGAAGTGTGAGCAGAATGAAACGTACCTGCACACTGCTGGAGTGTACAAGCTGCCATAGCTTTATTGGTTATAGGTCAGCAGCTGCCAAGTCTTATCATGGTATAGGACAACAGATCCAGGGATCAGATGAGCCACTTGCTGACTGATAAACCTCTATTCTAGTAAGATCACTGGGGGGGAAACAATGGGATGATGTGATTCATGTGTGTGCAAGCTACTGTGTGGTGCACCTACCCCTGAGAGTGAAGCAGGTCCAGCAAGCCCTGTGCTGTGCATGTTCTTGAAAGTCATATAATCCCAAGATCCCTTAAAGAGATACGTACTTAAGATGGAAGAGATGGGTATGCAGTTATTGCTCCCTTCTCCAAATCTGGTCCCATTCCCTAAGCCAGAGGTCCCCAACCCCTGGTCTGCGTTCTGGTTCCAGTCCGTGGTCTGAGCCAGACTGGGCGGCGGAGAGAGACCTCCCCCCCACCCCCGCACACACTCCCCTCACATCCCGTTCGCACATGCGCATGAGCACCCACACGAGTGCTGTGCCACCCTTTGCGCATGAGCATTCCTGCACAAGCACTGTGCTGCCCTTTATGCATGCGCACATGAGCGTGCGTGCCTGCGAGAGAGAGCACACGCTCCTTCGTGCATGCACACAAGCGCAGGGGATGCCCCGCCTTCCCCAGCCGGTCCACGGGGCTAAAAAAGTTGAGGACCGCTGCCCTAAGCAACCTACAGCAAAGCTGTTTTGCCCCCTGACAAGCATTTGTTGTGTGACTGGTTGTAATCCAGTCACACAACAGACACTTCACCAAAGAGCATAGGATACTAGCCCAAACCAATGTCAGCTCGGGATAGGATCTTTGGATTTATTGGACTACTGATCTCAGTTCTGCCTTACAGGCTCACCTGTGAGGAAGTCCTCAACTGAAAGGCTTTGAGGATTAGCTAAGCCTAGTTCAATTTCATTCCTTCTTCAGAAAGAAACCTCCCAGCTAGCACTCAGGCAGGAACAGAAAGCTTGTGCGCAGCTAGGCCTGGCTAAATCTCAAAGCCTTTCAGTCGAGGCCTTTCTCCCAAATGAGACACATTTAGATGTCTGTCTGTTAGGCAGCACCGTCAGAATGGAGCTATGGGATTTGTACTCCGAGAAATTAAAAAAGCCCATCCCTACACAGTTATTAGGCAGTTGGCCAATTTTGGGCTAGCATCCACTATTGGCCAGTTTCTGGGTGCTGGCCCACCCCATCCCCTAAGTGTTGGTTTCTGCTGTAGACCCTACTGCCAGGATCCAGTCTCACCAAGCAGCACTGGTGAAATGTTTGCCAAGTTGCATTTTTAATTCATCCATTGTGACGTGGAGTTGTTGTGTTTCACTGATACCAGTCACAGCAGCTGTGCAGTCTCTCTTTGTTGGGAAGCCCACTGAGGATGGAGCTGCCCAAAGGAGTTCAACTTGATTTCTGTCACCTATATCCTGAGCAGATAATTTTCTTAATCCTACAGGGGCCAGAGCTCGGAAAAGTTACTTGCATACTCTGCATGCTGGTCAGGGAAATTTGATGATTATAATCTAAAAACGTAAATTTCTGAAGGTTTGACAATGACTTGTGTGGCAATATAATGCTTCTTTCAGTTAAATCTGGTTTAATTGACAGATGTTTCAAAAAGATACATGCTTTCTTAATAAAAGGCAATTTGTGGATAACAGTCTCAGTTTATTCATATACGAAGGAAAGATGGATCAGGATATGGCTTTAATGGCAACTACAGTATTCTATTCAGAGCAATGGTGTAAGGGCTTTCTTACCCTGGCAAGCCCTCCTGTTGTATGACTGTTCAAGCAACTGGAAATATAACTCATCTTGCAAGCACTACAAGACCCATCTTGCAAACGCTTCAGGGCATCCAAAGAGGAGCCCTCTGGTGTTGGAGGGAAAACCTATGCAGTTGCCCCTTTATAACTGCACAATGCAACTTGATACTGGCCAAGGTATACAAGAGTCTCCCTATATTTTCTTATATCATGAACTCAAAAATATTTATACTCTCATCTTAAAACTATGTTTTAATAGGGAGAAACATACAATAATCAGTATTTAGTATCACCCTGGTATCTGAAATACAATAATGCACTTAGTTTTCAAATAAAATTGTCTGTGTTAAGACTGTTAGGCGTATAAGCTTACCTTACTGCAACAGTCTAATGAGCACATCAATAAACTAATACAGTAATGAAATACATGCACTGGAAAAAACGGGTAGGAGCCCAAATATTACAATATATTTTCAAGACACTCCTATTTACTTGAAAAATGAGAAACAGACCAAAAAATAAAAAATCAGCATGTATTTTTCAATTCTGCTATAGAAAAACGAGAACAATTTTTGTGCAAAAGTTTTTGAAAAAAATACTGTCAATTGTCTGAAAGACTGTTACAGTATATGTATAATTCATACAAAATTATTTTAATTTCAAAGGAAAGTGTGAAAAGTTGTAAATTTACAGTATTTTTCAAACGTTACAGTGGTTTCAAAATAATCCAGACGGAATATATCTGAATAGATTTCAGTTATACAAATGCCATATTTTGTAGTAAAAAAGTTAATTCTAATTCACATTATCTGAAATGACATACAAAAGTAATTTAAGAGAATTTCTAGAAAATTGCTGTGCATAATTTATTGGAATGTGAACTTCCCATTACTATCCTGAAATAGTAAAAAGCTATTTCTTCTATCTGAAATAATAAATATTATTGGGAAAACTGATTGTCTCTTTACTATAATATAAGAATGCAGCACTTTCTTTAATTAAATGATTGCATAGCAACATAGGAATATAAAATACAATTGGGACTACAGGTATAAAGTCAAGAACTATTTCCCTCTCATTTAATGCATGTCATTTCATGATGATTCTTTGAATTTGCTGTATCTTGCTTTGTACTGCTTTCTGCAATGAGCATATTTTATGCCATAACACAAAATAATACATTTTGAGTTAATGCATGAGTTTAGACTTATCACAAGACATGTTTACTTAAAATAATTTATCTACCAATCAAAGTGATATGCCTAAACATATATTCTTGTATTAAAAGGATACAAATATCTCATTTTGATTTGATATGGCAGCCCTACTTCATTTGTTGATCAGGTAGATGTTGCTAGGGAGGGGGACACAACGAGACAATGTATGCATCAGGATGTGATAAAAGTAAATTTGGCACTGTATTTGTTCCACCCAGATCTAAAGGATCAGCCATTTATGTATACATTGTGATCCTTCTACACCATATGAGACTAACCAAGAGTGAAATTTCCATTGTAAAGGAATATAATTAGTTGTCCTACATATTTTATAACTAAACTTCATTCATTCATCCATGAAGATGGCAAATATTAAAATCAGAGTTGAAGCTAACTGTGATCCGATAAAACGTGTCACAGAGAAGTTTCTTTAAAACACAATCACACAAAGATTTCTTCCTGTCCTTAATATCTGTGAAATAAATGCACATCCTAGATGTTGAGTGTTAGCTACTAAAAGAGAGAGAGAGAGAGAGAGAGAGAGAGAGAGAGAGAGAGACCTGGCACCTTTTTTTTACTGTTAAGGACAAATAAACTTCACAGAAAATACTTAATTGTAAATATCTCTTTATACGCCAGAAAAAAAAAATCTCCAATAAAATATTTGAATATAAATCTCATCTAAAACATTCTAGTCCATATTGTAAATAGTTTATTTACAAAAGTCTCACATATTTACATGTCTGCTGAAATCACAGTCTCGTTGTGTCCAAGAATACTGGAATCTCCTAGCAAAGAAGCTTGTTTGGAGTCAATTTTGTAGGGTTTTTGAGTTTTGTTTCCGAAAACAGTTATACTAATCCCGCTTGGATGATTTGGCATTGACATATGAGACAGCAAAGGAATATTTGCATCCTGGTTGGATCCTGAAGAGGGCAAGCTGGTCACATGACCAGTGCTCGTTGATCCACTAGCACTGCTTGGGGAACGGCTCTTTGGTGGAGGACAGTGTTGAATTACCCTTGGTGGGCCTGCAGGCTGGTAGTGGGCAGCTGGAAAAGCAGCATATCCAGGAGGAATTGGATATCCATTTATAGGAATAAATCGCTGGTTCTGAGGTATTGGTGGACCAATGAATCCTGCAATTTGGCCTTGTGGTATACCCTGTGCGGGGAACATGTAATTAGGATACCTAGGATTACTTAAATTGCTAACTGGGCTTGCACTGAGAGAAGTCGTCTGAGTGGTAGCATTTCCACCAGAAGGAGTAGTAGAACTAGTGTGACTTGACAGCCCTTCCCAAGAGCGCAGCCTAACATGGATATCTTTAAATTTTGGTCTCCGGGATGGAACGTCATGCCAGCATTCTGTCATCAAGCTGTACATTCTGGAAGGACAATCCTCAGGACATGGTAACAGTTGTCGTTTTCTAACCATTTCTATGACTTCTTGGTTACTAAATCCATAATAGGGCTGGAGACCAAAGCTGAAAATCTCCCACAGAACAACACCAAAGGACCAGATGTCTGACTCAGAGGAGAACTTGCCATATAAAATTGCCTCAGGAGGCATCCAGCGAATGGGCAAGAGGGACTTATTTTGAACTCGATAATAGTCTGCTGAATACACCTCTCTTGATAATCCCAGATCAGAAATCTTCACATGAAGCTGTTCTCCTATTAAAATATTGCGAGCAGCCAGATCCTTATGGACAAAAAAATGACTTGATAAGTATTCCATCCCTGCTGCAATCTGGACTGCGATGTGCAGGAAATCCCCATGATCCAAACTGGATTTTACAGTACCATCTTCATCACTACTACATCCAACATCTGAATGTGGCGATCGCATAATAAGAAATTCATGGAGATCCCCTTGGTTCATGTACTCAAAAAGCATGCAGACAGGTTGCTCTTGAGTCACAACACCAAGGAGGCAGACGATGTTAGGATGATGCAGCTCTGCCATTAAGGAAGCTTCCTGCTGGAACTCTGCCCACTGCTGTGGATTGTTAAAGTCCTTTAGTGTCTTTATTGCAACCAGCTGAGCATGATCCATGCCTGGCAGATAAAGATGGCCCTTGTAGATTTTGCCAAAAGCACACTCACCCAACTCTTCCATAAAACGGACAGCAGAAAGAGGCAGTTCTTTAGCTTTGCTCTGGGGGNGGGGGGAGAGAGAGAGAAAAGGCAATACATGTCAAAAGTAATTTCAGGCTAATGCTCCACCAAGCACTAAAACTGCAGAAAGCAGTTGAAAGAGTGGAACTGTAGTGTCTTCAAAGCATCCTGCATCTCTGCTACAAATAATATCCTCTTCCCTTTCTGTCTCTGTCTTTTATTCAGCATTCTATAGCTGGCTCCCTTTCAGAAGTATTAACCAGCATCCTATTGACAATTTACACTTGTGTAAGTAAAAATGTACTGTATAAGTCTGGGCAGAAACTGTGGTTCATTAAAAAGGTGTTTGCTGCATTTCTGGACATGTACGTGATGAGGCATGCACCCAGGGATGCAACCAGCACCTTGTTAATGAGTGCCAATTTGCCACCAAAATGTGCACCATTTTCTTAATGTGAATGTTAATTTGGCAGTAGGATTCTGAGCAGTGGAATGCAACTCCAGTCATTACCTGCCAGTGTCACCACAGGCTGTGATAGCTCAGGATGACTGAGGCGAGAGGGAATCCAACTCCAAATTGGGGAAGGCTGATACAGTATATTAGTATTTAGAAGAATAGCACTGTAACCTATAGTCTTGATACGTCTATGCAAGATGTAGGTGATTGTAAATGAATAACGAGTGGAGTGGTCTGCACTCATAGAAATGAAGTGGTCCTTTACTTGTGATTCCTGTTACTCCTTGATTTACAATTGATTTACATTTTGCCAAAGGAGCATAGCAAACAAAATAAAACAAAAAGAAAGAAAAGCCAGTGCACTTTATTGTCATTTGAAAGCAATTCTCAGAACTGAATTCCCATTTTCCCCAACCATTTACAAATTTTAGATAAATACTGTGTGAATCAATATATTGCAGAGGCATTTAAACAAGCAGCCATCTGACTATGCAGTGATGGCAGGAAATTAGCTGTATTGTTGAGAAACAGATGGTTTATATTATACAAATCCTTTAGGCTAAAACTTGTTTAGGTCTGGCATATTGTAAATTATATTTTAGTAATGAAAGTGAAATGACCTCTGTCTGACCTCATGGAGGGTTGTCTGTTTTAACTGACCTAGTGAAAAAGTATGAAAGAAAACGAAGTCATAAAGTTTTGGCAGGAAAGGGGTTCATTTTGAGTTAACTGTAAATCTGCTTAGTTTTTGTTTGACAGGTATTTGTCATACCACGGTGTACAAAATGCAAAGAAGTGTAAAACACAAGTGAGGCTTCATGCCAAAGTAAATGAAGTACAAAGGAAATCCAGCAGGGATACTCAGTACATCAATTGTTTCTAAAAGATGAATGACAAAGTGGACTTAGTTTTGGAAGAGGTGGACTTAATTTACGTTACAACAAAATACTATCCTAAGTATGTAGTAATTGCTTTGAACTAGGGATTATCCCCCCCCCAAAAAAAGTTTGTGTAGGATGACAAGCTAACAGAGCAATCCTACAGTGTTCAGAAAGAATTCCACTTTATTCAATACAGCTCAACTAGCACATAATTGATGTTGCATTTTAGCTTCAGTCTCTTATATGGAAGAAAAGGGACTTGGGTTTTGTTTATGTGTGTGTACATGCATGCATGCATGCATGCACATGCACACTGGCATGTGTTTAACATTGAATCAATAAGCATATTTCCAACACAATTTCAAATTTATATAAACTTTTAGTTTTCTATCAGAACAGCAGATAATATCTTAACTTTTTAAAAATAAAAATGTGAAACAGTCACACAGTTAGGAAGGACACCATTCTACAGTTAGGAAAACTGCAGAACTAGAGATCTGAAAGAGATAAAAAAAATCTCACAGGTTCTTTAAATCAGGGGTCCCTAACCTCTGGACCGCAGCCCGGTGCTGGTCCGTGGCTTTGGCAGGACAGGGCCACGGAGACAGATCTCCCACACCCCGCATGCACCCTCCATGCACGGACGGCCTGCCCACCCGCACGCACAGGTGCCCCGCCCCTTGTGAGCGCACCCTGCACCATCCGCACATGCACACGAGCATGCTTTGCACCCTGCAAGCACACCCCACACCGTGCCTGTGAGCACGCCCCATCCCCCGCAAGCATGTCCTGAGCCATCAGTGCAGGTGCGCAAATGCGCCCACACAAGTGCAAGGGGTACTCCCTCGTGCACGGACCCCACACCCCCAACCGGTCCACAGGTCAGAAAAGGTTGGGGACCACTGCTTTAAATGGAAATGCTCCTTGCTTTGTGATAAATGGTAATAATCGTATTGTGAAATACCACACACGTAAGGGAAATTGCGCAAGTGTTTTTCACAGTTTTTTGGTTTCCTTTCTTATATCTGGGTGTACAACTGTATGCATGACCTGGTTATGAGTACACAACCAACAGCTGAAATGATCACTCACACCAGTGTTGCCATTTTCAGCACATGCATTGCAAAGCCACAGTAGGATTCTGGCCAGCATGTTACTTTCTACAACACTGGCCTATGGAAAAAAACATTACCTTCGGTTTGTATGCATTAAGCATTGACATCTCCACATTCTGCCCCCTGACATGCTTCGGCTGTCTTTGCACTGGAGGGGAGGAAGCCTTCTGGTTGTTGCGGCACATACAGATGAAGAAAAACAGTAAGGCGATAGCCAGGGGGATTGTAACACTTGGTACCAATATATAAAGAATTTCCATTTTATTCTTTTCCTTGGAATCCTTTGTGTCTAATTCAGAAAAAAGTGGGGAAGGGGCAAGAGGGAGAAAAATATAAAATCACATGCACACTACACATGCTTGTACACAGAATAATTATATATGAAACACAGTGTTTCAAATCACATTTTGTGTATTGTAATAAATATTGCCATTCAGTGTTGTATGAATGGATGGGCTACGAGATAGTTCTGCACTAACAATGTCTGAGATCAGTTTAGTGAGATGCACTCCAAGCTTTCTGGCAAATAGCCATAAACTATATTTGGGAAAAGCTGACTTTAAAAAAAAGTTTCCATTTGATTACATATGGATTTACTCAACAGCTACAGGGTATAAAGTGAACTTTGAGGAGGACCCCAACAAATAATTATGTTCACATTAGTGTTGGATTTCATGTATCTCCTAAAGGTCTGACACATGCCAGGGGCCTAGTGGAGTGTTTCCGTGGTGACAACTTGACAGTAGTTGAGTAAGAACTGTGATAAGCTAGACAAAAAGATATATATCCACCCAAACTAGCTGGGTTTGCCCTGCAATAAGAGAGATTAAGTATGAAGAACAAGGACCCTCAAGCACTGAACACACTGTTAATTGTTTTTATACTCTCTTTTGGCAGACATAACTCTTCTAGCTGAAAAGGCTGGGGTACTGAGGGTGGGGAAGACTAACTATGTTATCTGCACATGATGGCTGTATGCAAGTATTGCTAACATAACAATGCCTGTCTGTAGTGCCTATGACAAAATCCCTAAATAGTTAGGTGGCTGAGATTTTTCAATTGTACTGGGAAGCAGCCAACAAATTTGGAAAGCCAGACAGGCATGCAATACCCTGGCCAAACAAAATTGTACGGAATGTTTTCAGTATCTTTTAGGTAAAGCTACATGGATGATATTCTAGAGAAACAACTGGATCCTGGAAAAATTAGGCTCTGATGTTCTTTGAACTCTTTCTTTTATAAAATTTAAGTGCAGACTTGAATGCAAGTGCAGTTCTTAAATTCTTTTAACAGTCTTTAATTGTACTCTTCCAAGTATGGGTAAAAGTACAACTCTTCAGTTTTCTTCAGTCCTCTGTTCTCTTTATAACAGTCGGTGGCATTACACAAATAAGCTGTATCAACCCTCAGACTCACAAGCTCCCCTCCTCTGTTATGACAAATAGGTGTTCAGAAGTGTTTGCTTTCATATCAGATGAGCTGCAGCTTGTCATAATATCTGAACCAGTAAAACTGTTGTTAATTTTAACTATGGCTTGAAGATGGTTGGCTTCAGTAAATCCCAATTTGTTTCAATAAATCTAATTAGCACTAGTATGTTGTTGTTATTAGGGATGTGCCACTCAGATGTTTTTGGACTTTTGGTTCCTACCCCCCCCCCGGTGGAGAACTTTGCACTTATCTCTCTTAATTTCATTCCATTATTATCAATACGGTGCTCAAGCCTACCAAGTTCTTTTTGAATTCTGTTCCTGTCTTCCAATCCAAGGCATTAGCTATTCCTCCCATTTTTTGTCATCTGCAAATTTGATAAATATTCTTAAACATTCTTCATGGTTTGAAGAGCAATATAGTCTATGATGTGTTTTGATTTCACTGAATAAACTCCACAGGAGTTACTAAGACTAAAATAACTATAAAGAGGAATGGGACACAGGCTTTCACTGTTTGGTTGACCATCTTCCCCCTCATTACGCTTGATTTTTGGGGAAAAAATTATATGAAACAAAGTATACAATCTTAAATAATATTCAGGAAACTATGGCAGTTTAACAAGTCAAAATATAGATGCTTAGCACCCACACCCTTACCCACCTGCACACCAGTTCTTATAAAATATTTTGCTGGAGCGGAAATAAACAAGGGATATGGATGACCTTCCTTATCTTCTCTTCTCATGGGCTTCCTGATCGGTTTGCATTTAAACTAGCTTTCGGTTTCAGACCTCACTGGAAACTGTGATTCAAAAAACCAGTAAATCTTGTCTTAAGCAAGATACATGGGAAGAGAAGGGGCATTTTTTTTCCTGGTTTATTGCTCCAACAAACCATAGTTTAAAGGACTGCTGACATTATGTCTGATGAGGATCACTGTCTATCAGAGAGAGAAAAACAGAGACTCTCTGTGTGTGTGTGTGTGTGTGTGGGTGTGTGTGTAAGATAGAGAAATTCAGGGGAGCAGGAATAATTTGTTTTAAATATATATAAGTTTGTTTTAAATTTGTTTTAAATATACATATACATACACACACACATGTATGTATGTATGTATGTATGTATGTATGTATGTATGTATGTATGTATGTATGTATGTATGTATGTATGTATGTATACACACACCTAAATGTAAATTTGCTGTTTAAATGGTAACGGACAAAGATGCTTTACTGCCTGCTAAGCCTAGTTAATGTATTTGTTTTGATGTTTAGGTTCCTGTATGAATATGAGTTCATCACACAAAATTCAGTCCATATATTCCTTCTTTTTACTGTTGGCTACTTAAAAAATCCTTATAATAAGTTTTAGAATATACTGAGAAAACAAAACAATGCAAACAATAAATATACTTTACAGTTGCCCACTGGAAAAAGAAAGGAGTCTAGCAGCTAATTAAAAAGCAAGACCACACATCTACAATATGTATTTTTAATCTCACTCCTTGCACTGTGCCTCAGAAGTCTCCATCACTGAATCTGGGTTTGATTTATTACTACTGTTTATCCTGATGCTATCTGCAGGTTTCAGTAAGCTTGGAATTCTTCTGCATTGTGCTGTTTCAAAGGCTCTGTGGTGTTATTTCTGCACCAGCTTTCAGTTTAATTATTATCCATACTTGAATGTATTTTACTACTGCATCTGCCAGAACTAAAGGGGGTGTCCAATGAGGTGAGAGCAGTTTCTAATCCTAGAATGAAATCTACACAGAAGCCTCAGGGCTAATTCTGTATGTACAATTCATCACCAATTAAGTGGAATTATCATTTGTCTAAAGCTGCAGCTAACACCATAAAGACTGTTAGCTTTAAATGGATCTCAATTAAACTACTTTTCCAACTCAGCATGCCATCAGTTTCAAGTATTCTACACTCAAAAAGAGAGAGTTGTGAATACTTTACTCTTTAGCAGTAATATGCATTTTTCAAAATGCCAATTAATGTGACCATTAATTTAAATAATATGTAATTTTAAGTAGTAACATATTTATCCAGTTTTCTGAACTATAAAAGACTTTCGCCTGTTCTGCATCTAATTTTTAGAAAACAATTTTTGGTAAGATCAAAGCAGAAGCAGTTAGAATGATGAAAGTCAGACACATGTATCATTGACTTGATGGGAAACTGATATTACACTGCAGACACTGCCTTGGTATGGGAGACAATGCTGAATTATAAGAGACCATTTTAATGCTGCTCATAGGCTAAGAGAAAATAAATATAATTGGAACCACCAAAATCTGTATAGTTTTTTGTGGATTGTGTGCTATGCTTTCCTGATTAGCAAGGCTAGCATAATCCCTTGTGGTTGAAGGAACCTGCCCGTACATTCCCAGCAGCTATAGACACAAAGATATATTCCAACCAAGAATTGTAGAAGCTGATTGTTATTAAGAGATGTTCCCTGTCTCAGGCTTTTTCAAATGGGCTGGTTTCAAAATATTAGAAACCACAACTTGGAATGCCTCTTATTTTTCAGGCTTTCAGGCCATTGGCTGAACCATTCCTGGTTAATTTTCACAGAAGGATAGGAGATCTGCTTACTTTCTCCTGAATCTGACTTGTTTTTGTTAAAGAGCACTGTGCCTGGAAATGGCCCTTGCTGATTATTTTTTGCATGAGTATATCTTTTACTACAGTACTCGCATACTTTCCTTAGGATTACCCTCCTGCTGCTTTAAGTTACTTTTCAGTTAGGTTTCTACATGTCAGGAGGATCTTCCTTCTACTCAGCTAATGTCAGTTTTCTTGAAATAGATATATTTAGAAATTGCCATATTTCATTTTTTGTGAAATCCAGGCTACTGCTGTTATATTCATTAGATAATATTTGTAGGTTGCTTCCTTTCAACAATTTTATATTGCTTTTTCCAGTTATAAAACAGAAAAGCTGGCAAAATGGACAGATACCAAATTTTTCATTTTGTTTCATTAAAAAAAAACAGCAGCTTCCTTTACAGACAAAACACTGGTTATTTAACCCAAACTACACATGACATTAATCACATGGGGAAAAGTCATGTGGAGAAAAAAAACCAAAGGTGGTAAAATCCAGCGCATGCTCCCAGTCCAGACTACAGTTTCATGCTGGTTTTCTGCTGAAAAGCTTTCCCTCTCAGCTGCAAACAGCATTTCGGGGAAGAGGCAACAGCTAAACAGCTATTTGTTTATTTATTACATTTCTGTCATGCCTAACCACTAAAAGAAAATAACAAACATCATTAAAACCAGATTAAAACAAACAAGACAATAAAACCATTAAAATCACAGTCATAAACTCAGTTGTTGTTGCTAATGAATATAACATAACAATTTAAAATAGTACTTTGAAGAACTGTGTCTTCACAGCTTTACTAAAACCACCAGAATGCTTTGAGGAGAGTGCATCCCACAATTTGGAACCAAGTACAGTGGTGCCCTGCTAGACGATGACCTCGCAAAATGACGAATCCATATGATGATGACTTTTGTGATTGCTATAGCCCTTCATAAAACAGTTTTTCCTATGGGCAATTTTTGCTGGATGATATTTCGGTCAGTGTTTCGCAAGACTTTTTTTTTCCGGGGCCGATGCTTCGCAAGATGATGATTTTCACAGATAGGTCTGCGACTCGCAAAACGGGTGTTTTGGGGACCGATGCTTCGCAATACAGCTATTCTAACAGCTGATGGGTGCTTCGCAAAATGGCTTCCCTATGGGTGATTTTCGCAAAATGACGACTATTTTCCCCATTGGAACGCATTAAACAGATTTCAATGCATTCCAAATCAATGGAATGGACCTCAAGATTATGTTTTCACAAGACAGCGATTTCAATGGAATGGATTAACATCGTCGCATGCCTGTCTAGCTGAGCTCCCCAGGTAACAGTGCTCTCAAGAGGACCTCTCTTGAAACTCAGAAAAGTCCATGTAGAAATAATCGGCCTGTTATAGATAATTTTGATTAGGCAACCATAATGAACTCCCATTCTGGACCAAGAGCAGATTCTGATTTGGTGATCTGCACTTGCCTTTTCTGCTTCAAAACAAAATCCATCAGATTATATACACTTGTTTAAAAACATGACTGATATCGCATATTGTTTGGCCCCTTGGGCTAGAGGTACACATACTGAAAAGCTGATATGAATAAATGGAGACAGTGTAATATTTACCACAGGCTGGGATGTCACAAAGCTCCGATTTGAAATGTTCATCTAAGGTGAAGCACCATGGAGCCTCTTTCTGGTTGCCTGGATTACGGCAGTAGGAATGGCCCCCATTCAGCTCTGGATATCTGACAGCAGTGAATGTGTGTGTGTGTGGATATTGAGAATTCCATGGCTGGCACTGTCGCCCAGATTTTGTGACACTCACAGTCCCCCGGTAGTCCACTCCAGTGCTGTTATAACATTTGTGATCTACAAAGAAAAGCAGAAGTTCACTATGGTGAATCAGAAAGGTAGTGGCCTGGTATGAGAATGTGAAATGATTCCACAGTAGGGATTGGTGTTCTTCTGCTGGCTGATATAAAATTGAGGTTCTCAGTTTGCCTAAAATGCTGGCCTTGCTCTTCATTCATATTCTTACAAGGATTTTCTGGCTATGTTTCTGTAACCCCACCCCCCAAAGCACAAAATCTAATTCTGAATATTTTTAAGAATAAAATACCTATAAGAACTCCAAAGTGCATAGGAAACTCTGAGATAAATTCCTTATTCTGGCATGAAAGTAACGGCAAACGGCGAGACCCAACTGATGTATCTTGGAAATGAAACCATTTAAAATCAAGTTCAGTTTAATCAGCTTGTGATCTACCTTGAACTCAGTAGCCGGCATTAGGCCTACTAATGAGCACTCAAGCACTGCATAGCATCCTTTGGCTGTTTAAGAGGTTTTTACTTACTGCAAGTTAGATAGCTCAGTGGTTTAGGTATCTGGCTGCAGAGCTAGAGGTTGGGAATTCAATTCCCCACCGTGCCTTCTGTAACTAGAGTCAGCCTGTCTGGCCTTGGGCAGGCTGCATAGTCCTAGGGCTCCTCCAGACGAAGGGAATGATAAACTGCTTCTAAGTATTCTCTGCCTGGACAATCCTGAAATGGGTTATCAAAAGTGGCTTAATGGCACATGATCAGACATGGGGTATTTGTATCCCTGGGGATACGAATATGAATATCGACAGCACAGGTGCCTGGGGTAAACAGACCGTTCCCCCTGAACTGGCAAGTCCACTTACTACTCGCCAAGCAGTCTGCATGGCTGCCATCATTCTTGTCACATCAATCCAGGAAGCAGCCTAGCCGGCGCTTCCCTGCCTCCCTGCATAACCAACCACTCCAAAAGGGAGGCGGGATGATGATTCTCCCAATTCAGCTGTTGAGAGGTCATTTGTGCAGGGAAGTGGAGAGGCACCAGCCAGGGTGCTTCTCAGATTGGAGATATGAATATGAATATCCCATGTCTACACATGATTATTATTATTAGTTCCATTTATTTAATGGGATAGCTAATAGGTATCTTAATAAGACAGGCTTGTGGCACTAGATATTACCATATTTTTCCTAAAATAATTAGAGGAAAATTTGAGGGTTGTTTATACACGGAGGTAAGGAAGGGGAAAGCTTTGATCCCTGCTTTCCCCCTTCACATTTTGCAAAAAGCTACTTTCCTCCTACACTTTTTGCAACAAGATTCCTGTTTTCCTCGTACACTTTTGTTGCAAAAAGCTGCTTTCCCCATACACTTTCGTTGCAAAAAATGTAGGGGGAAAGCAGCTTTTTGCAATGAAGGTGAAGGGGGAAAGCAGGAATTGCTTTTCCCCTCCACTTTCGTTGCAAAAAGTGTAGGAGGAAAAGCAGCTTTTTCCAAATAAAGTGCAGGGGAAAAGCACTTTGATCCCTGCCTTCCCCCTCCACTTTCTTGCAATGAAAGAAATTTTGGGTTAGAAAAGGAGGGCGTCTTATTCATAGGGGTGACTTATACACAGAAAAATGCAGTAATTGGTATGAAAGATTTATCTTGAATAAAATAGCATTATCTTGAATAAACTGCTAGTATAATAAACTGCCAATAAATCTACACAAAATGGGGGGAAATGTTGGAACATGAATTCTGGAAGAATAAGTTGGGTGTCTGACAAAGCTAGTAATCTGAAAATATGAATTTCTCAATTTACAAAGCATATTACCTATCTTTCTTGAGACTGAGAAATAATAGGAAAAGGTTTTTGATGGTTCAGATATTTCAAAGCCGGTTCCTGAAGTCCACAGCTGTCACTTACTCTTATTAATTGGATCTGCCATAGGGATGCCAATGCGGATACAGTTTACTGCCTCAGGGCTATCAGGCTGCGGAAGATCTTCACAATTAGGCAGCTTTAAGCGCATCAAAATCATTGGGTTGGATCTTGCAAAGATGTACTCAGTTTGACAAAGGACGTTCTCCAGAATCTCACACTCATCGCGGCACAGATCTCGTGGCTTGGCCACTGAAGAAGTCTCATCACAGTAAGGGAAAGCGTAATGGCACAAGGAAGGAATAGCAAACTGGGAACATTTATCAGATAAATGGCTGGATGTTCCAATCATAGTGAAGGCAGCTGTAACATACACACATCAACGAGTTTAAACAATGTGATGATGAATGGCAAATTCAGATCCAGAATACTTACACACTGCTTAACAATTCAAGAACCTCATTGGACAAAAGATATTTTAAAGACCACACTTCAAGGGATGAATTTGGCTTGTTGAATCATACAGGGCATAGCATTCCTCTCCTACACCCTGAGGTTGGAAACAAAACACCACACCTCCATTAAATTGGGTGCCTTCCCATTCCTAGTGGTTGGGAAGAGACTGTGTTGACACCACTACCACCTGCCCATCATTAGAGCCTTGCCCATTGCCAGAGAGAGAGAGAATGCTTTAGTGACACAGAAGCAGCCAAAATATAGTGCAGTTCTATAAGGATGCAAAATAGGAGAGGAGAGAAGAAAGCAATGCAGTTTGT